ATTTTTATAGTTTATAACAGCCACAGAATTAATACAGTAAAATCCAACAGTATGTTTTATTGATATTTCTTATAGATTCTTTCAAATAAAACTTTTTATGACACAATACAAGTAAGATATATAGAAATAAAAAACAAAAATACTGGAATACTAATGAAATGTTTTATTCGATGTGATCTATTAGGTTTAGATATGTATGCCGAATAGTTTAATGGTAAATTGAAATCATTTCGAAAAATATTATATACTTGTTCAACTATTTTTTGTTGATTACATCCATTTTTATTACAATAGATTTTTATCATCAAATCGTGATTGTCACCTGGTGTACTAAAAGATTGTTCGATTGTGACTTGAGATGAAGACATATTATCGCATGAATATTTATTATTAAAATTTATTTGATTAATTTGTGAAGAAGAACTATTTTGAATAAATTGTGCATAACAATTTTCATTCCATAAACAAATAGAATTATTATCACAAATGATGTTCTCAGTTGATGAATTTGTTTTAAATAGTAAAGTAGTAATATCTGTTCGTACTTTTGTTTCATTTAATTGAAACCATTTCGATGAACTTATAGTTTCACGTATGAATTCTTGATCACAATCATCTGTAGTTGCACAATAATAATTGATAAAAGTAATTGTTTTACTTGAAAACATTATAGATGATAAATCAAGAATTGATAATTTATTTACTAAACGTGTTTTTTCATGAAGAGTACCATGAATATATGATGTTTCAAAATTTATCGTAAGAAAAACTGAGCAAAATGTATTAGTAATATTAATATCAACTGTATGGCATGGATTTTTAATTGGATCTGGAGAACCTAATGCAATAGGACCGATTGAACATGAATGAGCACAACGAAGAGTGTTCACTGAATTAATTTGTTGAAAAAATATAATGATAGAAAATGAAAGAATAAAGATTTCTGTAAATGATTTGATCATTTTATTAGACGAATATAAAAAAAGATAAGTTTCATATCTACAGTGTAACACGCCGTTATTTGTATGTGTATCTTTAAAAAAAAAAGTTTGCCATCGTTTGTTATCTCTGTCATATTAAGATACGATGAAAAAATATTTAGATGTTTCTTATGAAATTCATTAGTGTTATATTCGTTCTATAAACATATAGTAGAGTAGATCTATATTAGTTTCTAATAAAGAGCAAAACTAAACTAAAAAAATATTGACTCTGTCATTAATTAGACAATAATCAAGATTGATCATTATTATTAAATTTATCTTCGTTGTTTCTTCTGTTTGTCAATACAAGATAAAACATCAGTTGAGAGTAACATTAAAGTTATCTTCATGGATTTTATTTTTAGATTATGAAGATTTGATTGGATGACGAATGTAAATGAAGTGTTCTGTCTTTATCAACTGTAACAAGAAAGTTGTAAAGGTAATTGAAATTTTTTCTCTAATTTGGGATAGATTAACGATAAGTAATTCATAATGATTAATGCGAAAAAGTTAGAGCTAATATTCTTGTGTTAAATCGATGTTTTATAAATTTAGTTTTCATTTGTAAAATATTGAACTCTTCTTTCAAAACATACATAATATATAATCAATGTATCGATTTATCCGATATTTGCAAATATTATAACTATAATGAATAAATTGTATCAAGGAACTCGATAAATCAAGTTTCTATATTAACAAATAATATATTAAATCTCACAAGAGAACAACATAAGTGTATATAAGTTATTTCTGAAGGTTTTTTAGTAAAAAGACAATGGTAAGCATATGTATAAATGACGAAATACTAAATTGTGTATAGTAGTTGATCATGCCAAATACTAAAATATTTTTCTTTCATTAATTTGAGTTCTTTTGATCAAATTTAGTACTTCATAGGCACGTTCCCAACTACAATGATGTGTCGTGTAAGTGTAAGGCTTCAGTTTACTCACATCTGTCATTATTAATGTACAATTTAGAACTTCTAAATTACTTTTACTAAATTCTAATTTGTATTCTACTCTCAGTTTATACTATATTATTCATATTCAACCAATATTTGTCTTTAAAAGTCATTTTCTTCTGATATGTCAACTATAGGATAATGATTGCAGATCAATTTTTCTCAACATCTCTCGATTCATATGTTTTAATTGATTTACGTATAAATGACTGTTATCCAAGTAAATTATCCTGGGAACATCAGCATATTTTTTGTATCATTGATTATTAATTGTATCATTTATCATATGAACATAAATCATACATATTAGTAGAGTTTGCAAATTCCCAAGATGATTGATGATGAAAATAGCAATTCAACTATGTCTTTGAATATTTGTAATGATTGTAAAAAAAAACAGTGATTTGTTTTGTTTTTTTTAAATTGAAAAATATTTTGATGTCAAACTTAATAAACAAAAAAATCGCTTAGTTCTCTTCCGCATTTTTTTATGAATCCTATTCTGTTCAATTGCAATGATCTTCGAATGATTAAAATTTTGATAATTAAATAAAAGTAAGGAATCATGAATAACTGACATTTGAAATTTTTACGTTGGCCTCTACTGATTTGTTATATAGATATATAATACGAAAAATTTTAGTTTAATCTAAGTATTCTACTAGCAACTGTCTAGATTGCTTAACTTATGCGTGTCATCTGTTAGCGACACTCTGAATGAAAATTTCGATGCAAATATTCATTGGTCAATTTTATATGATGGATGATATATATTAATTACGATTATTTTAATGTCATTCATTTATTTATATATATATATACTAAATTGAATAATTCGAATGATGAAATTTTTCAGATCGTAAATTTTGGTTGTTGAATGGTTGATAATATTCAATTCGATTCATCAGAAACAGTAGATTCTACTGAATTATCAACAAACATTGAAGATACATCAAAATGGAAACCCTATTGGAATGAACATTATAAACGTTATTACTGGTCAGATGGAAATGAATCAGTAAGTCGTTTTATGATAATAATTATTATTATTCGTATTTTTTATTAATTTCTTTTTTTTTAGGTTTGGGAAACTCCAAAAGGTTGTGTTGAACCATCACCACCTACATCAGAGCCATCTTCAAATACTACACAACAATTACAGTCATATACAACTAGTGACTATGCTGTATCTATGGCATATGTTAATACTCCAAATGATCTTCGTTATCAACCATATATTATTCCACCTGTTATACCAAGTACAATAAATACTGGTAAAAGACTTGTTGGACAAGATACACGTGATCTACGTCAATTATATCATTATTTTGATTATAATGCATGGAATGAAGAATTAAATCGAACAAATGGTAATCAAAAGAAAAAAGTTAAATTAACTAAAAAAGAACTTGATGTTATTAAAGCACGTCGAGCAGAAATAAAAAGAAAACATCGTGATAAATGGTTACTTGAAGATTAAAATATTTTCTTTTGTCTCTTTTTTTTTTAAAACAACGCTTTGTTCATCTATGTTATCATTTTGATTTATTTTCATTTTTTTTAATAACAACAGACAACAAAAAGTCTCTTCTTTTGGTATTTTTAAAATTTATTCAGATGAAAGTTTTTCTAAGAAATGAAATATATTTTACTTTATTCAACAATATTATAATCCATCGATCTCAAATTCAGCTTAAAATTTTGACTCCCTTTTTTTTATTGGACTTTTCTATATTTTGTATGTAATAAACGATATTTATTATTTATCATACCTATAGTCATATAGAGGACACGACTCGATATAATGTATCCTGTTTTAGAAGGCGAAAATTATTAAAAAACTAGAAGTAATAACTCATTTTATACTTCCAAGATTTCAATACCTTATCTGAATATTTTTTTTAATGTCATTATGACCTATTTCTTATATTTTTTCTTGTTTGAATATTTTACTTCTACATAGTAACTCTGATTTGCCAATGGTCATTTGACTAAATGTTGTTGTTTACATAGTTATAAAAGAAATAGACATTTATTAACAAGCTGAATGTTCTCTGAAGGTAGTGTTACGCATAATTGATAAAGAAGAAGAAAAAGATGAGGACAATAATATTGAATTACTCTCATTACACACAAATATCAGAAACAGCATATCTGGATGTTCTAATTAGAGTGCGTAATAGACATAAAACATATTATTTTTCATTGAATTGCAACTCTGTTGTCATCGATATCACACTAAGTTGCATACATATATTCTTTCAAACTTTCCATCAATCTACTTTCATAATCTGTTATAGATATTATACAATTATATAGTCTATAATGTTCTCTAGCAAAAATTCAAGCATGATGGTCAAATAATAAAGCATTATTTCAGGAGAAATGATTAAACAAAGAAAATCTTGATTGAAACATAAATATATGAAAAATTGTTACAAAAACATTCAAAGATTATTCTATATCAAAAGATGCTTGATTAAGGCTTTATTAAAACTAGATAAAGCATCACATTATGCATAATTTTTAAATTGAAATATTAAACTAAAGTTTATTACTATTCTACATCAGTTAACAGTATTTCACTTCGTTATACAGCCATGTAAATATATAAAATTATTCAATTGTGTTCCTTTATGCCAAGTTAATTCGTAGTTTAATTGTTGTTCAACAATAAAACGTGCACAAAGACATTTTAGTAAGAAAGGTTTTTGATATTTTTGAAGTACACTTTTGATTTCAGTATTCCTAGCACAATCGAATGGTGTTTTTTTATGTTTATTCAGACAATCCCCATGTGCTCCAGCATCAATTATTAATTTAACGATTGATGGTGCATCGATTTTAGTACTCTGAGCAATGATATGAAGCGCTGTATTACCATTTGATATATCGATTGCATCTACATCAATCCAACGATTACCATAAGTCAGCAATAGTTGAGTTGTGCATAAACTTGGAAAACTAAATAAAATACAAATAAATAGACTATTTCATAAGCTTCTTTAATAGAAAAAATTTTGCCATTGACGAAATACCCTCATTTTGTTATCTTTAAAATGGCATTTAGTTCATCTATGAAATTTTGGTATAGAATGCATCGGATAGAAAATTCCATCGGTTATTAAAATCAATATATGAATGTGAGTTAGGTGCTTAACATGATAGAAAAATATACGCTGTTGTTAAGCGTGTTTCCATCATCCTACTATAACTTTTTGTTTTTGAAAAAAAACTTACTTAAGAATTTGTTTAATCTCATTTGTTCGATAATTGATATCACGATATGTTTGATCATTAACAGACAAATGTAATAATGTTTGTCCACACGATGTTCGACGTTGTTGACGACAGAGATCATTTATCCATTGATATATTGATAGACGTTCTTCTTCAGTCAATGTTTGTCGTTCAAGAATCTATTAGAAAATGAATTGATCATAAACAAAAGCTTTTACTTAAATAGTTATATGATAAAAATATATTTACCATTGATGCAATAGTTACAAAACATAAAGCATTTTTTATAGAATGATTCTTATTATTTTTCTCTGAAGGTTCAAATGTTAAATGACATATTTGTACAAATAGTTGAGGAGAAATAGACACGTTAGTTGCTAACATTTTACAAAACACCCAAACGAAACGATGAAGACTTGTTTCATGATTCATATTTTGAAATAAATGAAAAGTATGTTCCCATAAACGAAGACAATTTTCAAAATCACATTGTTCAATAAGTTTTTCTCCACGTATAAGTAATGGATCACATAGTACTATAGTTTTCTTTGGTAATAAAATGCGTTCTCGAATGAGTAATGCTTCTATATATAAACGATCATGATCATGTTGAATTTTATCGAATTCTTCTATTGTCTGACATTCTTGCTGAAAATTATAAGCAGCTATGGGTTTCATAATCGTTTTTGGGAAGTTTTTTGCTTGTCTCATTTTAAATGACTTTCGAATTAAATCTACCATTCTTACGTATTGTGGTTGAATGTTGCTGACACCTCTCCTTGGTATAATAAATGAGCAAGCAATTATTTCAAGCTCTTCAATACATAATTCATTATTTGTGAGATCTAAAAGATAGTCAACAACATGTAAATGATCATTTTTAAATGCTAATATCAATGGTGTTTCTCCAATACTATTCTTCATACTAGTCGAAGCACCTGCAGAACATAATAATTGTACTATATCTAATCGACCATGCATAGCGGCACATCCTAAGGCTGTATCATTATATTTTCGTGTTTTATATTCTACCTTGGCACCTTTTTCAAGAAGATAGGCAACAATCATTGTATAACCACGAGCAGCAGAAATCATTAGACTATTGTATTTAGGATGATTATTTTCTCTTGTTCGATTTATATCTACATAACCATTTTCAATTAAAAATTGAATCGTATCAAAACGTTGATTAATTGTAGCATCAATCAATAATGGATTTCTTGGACCATGATAAACACTAGCTCCTCCGACTTCGATAAGTGTACGAGCTAATGTATAATGACCTCGATCACAAGCACACCATAATGCACTAGCATGAAAAACACGAATTCCATCGATGCCATATACAATACCAGTAAGCTCTACTAAGTGTTTAACATTAGAAGAATGAGAAAGTAAAATACGTATCACTCTATCATGTCCTTCTAAAGCAGCTAACATTAATAAATTTATATGTTGATTATCTCGTTGATAGCAGAAATCAAGAGTTTTATCAATATCAGGCAATGATTTTAGACGTGTATCAAGTTCATTTGATATGTCGCCTTGATAAACTATTGAATAAAGTTCATCATCGATAGTTCGATTATCCATTTCTATAAATAAATAAGAATCAATCAGTATTTATAGTGATTGAACTACTTGCTGCAGATTACTCTTCGTATCAATATAGAACAATGAACCTTATTTATAACTCATTTAATAGTGAAGAACATGCATAAAAAATGGTCACATACTAGCTCGTGTGGAACAAAAAGCGGTCTCTTTTCTTTCATCTATCTTTTTCAATCGTTTTGTTTGCGATGCCAGCAAAAAAGATGGAAAAGAGACCACCGCAAGCAACATATGAGCTAGTATGTAACCACTTTTTATATATGTTCATGGTCAACAAGGAAGTCGTGAATAAGACGCATTGTCATGAATAGCGATCTTTTCAATGAAATATAAATACTGACATACGAGGGTGAATAAGGACACTTTTCTCCTCAAAATATTCTCAGAGAGTAGGCACATAATAATAATAAGCCAACGATGCACTACAACATGGATATATCTATACGCTTTAGTTCTACATGAAAGTGTTCCACATTTGTATCATTATATAACGTACTTGAATCTTTTTTCTTGTCACTTCGAGTCAAAGGCATACTAAAATCTACAACTGACGACACTGATTATGAATGTCATTTTAGTTTTTTTCTCTAAACCATTTTGATGAATGAGGAGCACAATTTTCAAGAGACTAGGCCTTGAGTGGTTAACCATGCTGTTCTTTTTTTGATCGGCTACCGATCTTTTATGCTGTTCTGAACGTTCGACAAGAAATTTCAAATGCATATTCAAATATTATTTATCTAATGACACAGAAATAAAGACGGAAATAGGCGCAACAGGTCATAGAAGCAAATTACAAGCAAAAAACCTTGTCAATTGATGTGTGTGACTTCTTGAATCTTTCATTTTTTATTCGGATACATGCTTGAAGATGGAAAAAAAATGTTCTTTTAGGATGAAATCAACATTTACTATTGAAAAGTCATAATTTTTATTTTATCTTTTCACAGTTCTGGTATAATATGCGACATTCTATGCATTTAACTTACACAATTAGTGTTTCATTAGATAGACGATGCTCAACTATGCATATGAAATATATTTTCAAAAATTTTGAGCACTTTATTGGAGTAGAATAATTTCAACAACGAATTGAGAGAACTATCTTTTCCTACCTATGGTCAAAATATTGGATATTTTGTCTCCGCACTTGTTAAAATAATTTAGATAAAAGCTGAAGAGATATTCGTGATCAGTGTCATAAACTCTAGATTATGGCATGTGTTTAGTTCAAAATTAAGAATAACAGTTTTTCCTGTTCTCAAGGACTGGAGAAGATACAGGAGTAAAAAATATCGATGATTAATAAATAGGGCTGCATTTATTTAAATTATAGTTCATGATCGATTTATTAATATCATGTGGTCTGTTTTCGAAAAGCCTAATCGTAACGATGGAATACGACCAAATCATCTTTTCTGTTTCTCGGCATAGTTGGCTGTTATAGTGAAAGGACTTTTGGTCTTTTCTCATCAATTTGCATAAGATTTGAAATGCATAAGAAATCTTTAATCTTAGCAATCAAACACCTTCTATCTGATAAAATTCTAATTATGTCAGTTAATGAAAACATGTCTTTTCACTGCTAAAATCGCGAACTTTATCCCAGCAGCACAGGTTTTATTTTCTTGTTCAAGCACATATTTGAATAGAATATGAAAGATTCAGTCTGCTCTTACCGCTTTCAAAGAGTAATTGAGTGACGTAGTAAAGTGGTATATCATCCAAAGGAGTCGTATACATCAATTGACTAGTTTTGCCGCTCGTAATGCGCTTCTATGACCCGTTTCACCTACTCAAATAGTTTCTTTTCTGTGTCATTAGATAAACAGCATCTGAATACTCATTTGAAGTTTCTTTTCAGACATTTAGAACCGTATAAAAGGGCGATAACCGATCATAAAAAAAAGTACAGCATGTTTATTCACCCAAGGGCCTAATCTTTTGAAAATTTTTCTCATCGCTCATCAAAATGCTTTAGGCAAAAAGCTAAAATAACAATCGTCATCATTAGTACCGTCAGCTCTAGACGTTGTTATGAGTTTAACTCAAGTCTAAGAGAAAAAAAAACTTTCAAAAGCGCCAAGGTGAATCATAGATGCGAAAAACCTTTATGTCAAACTAAGGTGAATAAATATACCCATGTTGCAGTCCATGATTGACTGACTATAGTGATGTCTTTATTTTACGAAAACATTTTGACGAGAAAAACGTCTTTATCAACCTTCGTCTATGTGAAGACAATATTGTAATGTATTCTTTTTCGATTGGGCCAAAAATCAATTACGTTAAACAATTTTAGATATCGTTCTTAAGTGTATATATTCATACGTCGCTCAAGAAAATTAAAGAGAACGAAGCAGAAATGAAAATAATAAAGAAAATGACTGCTACTTATAAGAAAACTTTTGAAATTTTATACAATTTCAATGATCTAATATTTTTTTTAAACTTCTAACGAAGAAGACTATTATACGATTCAAGATCAGAAATCAAAAAATAAACATTTAAAAACAACTCTTCATAATTTCCATACTCGGTTTTCAAATTGCATTGCGATGAATAACCCGCAATAACATGTCGCAAGACTAGCCATTTAGTAGAATGTCGTACTTGAATATTGTTTTAGCTCATAAATAGATATTTACTGTCGCAATAGAACGACACATGTAGCTGTATGTTTATCAACGTTCTTTTTTCGGGTGATGCAGAAAAAAAAATGAAAGATGTAAATAAAACAAGTTGCAAAACAGAACGAACAAAAACATAAACGACATCAAAAGAAAAGTTTTTTTTTTCATTGAAAATTGAGTTTTTTGAAATACAGCTATTATAATTAAGGAAAAAAAAGACTTTTCAAACTATTTCACACTAAGAAAATCATTCTTATTTATTGTAATTATGATCAGTTAGCTCATATATCGATTAATACATAAAAATATTGTTGTAATTAATATTAACTCTAATGCCATTTTGTTAACTAGAAAAACAAAAGATAAAAAAGCTTCACTTGATTACAAAATAAGAAATTTAACCTTGATTAATTCTTCTCGAGGAAGTATAATTTCAGTCGATTTTCCTATAGGTAATGATTTCGTCGGCGATAGTGATTTTTGTGAACCAATTATCTGTTCAAAACTATATTTTAAATTATTGATTTTTTTTTGTATTCGAAAACAAAAATCATCTTTTCACTTACTAATTACGTCGACTTTTGACACTCACATCCACCAATGAAGGAGACGATTCATTGATTTCTTGACAATTATCAGTATTTGATAGGTCTTTTTCTTGTAAATCTATTCAAAAAGTATAAATACAATGAAATTATTTCGAATATTTATTCTACATACCAGAAGAAGATTGTGGATTTTCGTGTATTTTTTCTAGAAATATTGAATTCTTCTTAAGTTTTATTCAAATAAAAGTCATTTACCATTTTTATCTTTTTTTATAATTGATGAATTTTTCGAAGTAATTGTCGATTGACATGTTTTCTAAAAGAAATCTTATTTCAATACTATTAATAAAATGTTAAACACTGACTGGTAAATGTGAATCAATAGGTAAAGTTATCAATTCTGTTAATTGTTTCGTTAATTCCTTAAATGTTGGTCGATCATCAGGATTTTGTGACATACATTTTAATATTAAATTCCATTGACAATCTGATTTACAATTATCTGGACGTGATAAACGTTCTCCATTGATTACTTTTTTACGTACGCTTGACTCTTTATGTATTTCACTCCATGGTATTCTTCCATTTGAATAAGCTTCCCACATAAGTACACCCATAGCAAACATATCTGTTTTTTCTGAATAAACATCTGTAGAATCATTATCACTATCTTGAAGTACTTCAGGTGCTGATGATCGAATTGGTATTGTATCAATAACTGTAGCAACAGCATCTATTTTTGAATAAATACTATTACCACGACTAATACCAAAATCAGTTAATTTAACTAATGTTCTATTCGGTTCTTGTGTATCAAAATGAAATACTAATACATTACGACAAGCTAAATCACCATGTATAATACCTTTCGATGATAGAAATGTCATAGCATCACTTATTTGTAAAAAAATATGATTAAGTAATAAATCTGATAATGGACTATTAGGATATTTTTCTGAATAATGTTCCAGAACATTAAGTAAACTTCCTTCAGGTGCCATTTCTTGTAGAAGCATAAGAAATGTATTAGAAGTAGTATTTGGTTGTTCAACTAAACCATATGTATAAACAATATGTGGATGACGTGTTAAATGTTCATAAAATGATGCTTCTTTTTCAGCACGTGCACCAAGTAATTTAAGCAAAATAATACGTGGTCCATTCGGATAACCAATCCATTTACCTTCAAAGAGAGCTTTACCTGTTGTTTGAAAAAATGGATTTTGAGAACGTTCAATATCAACACCTAATTTAAATTTATAATTATGTTTCGATAAAGTTTTTCGAAATTCATCAACTAAATTTCGAACAATATGATTTGAACGTAAACCTGCAATTGTAATTGGTTCACGTGTTAATGGACTTGTACTATTTTGTTGAATCCAATCAATTATAGCTTGACGTTCATATGTGTGACCATCTTCAGCCACAACTGGATCACAAAATAGAGTAAATGTTATTGGACAAACCAGACAACTACCTAAATTTTCTGCCATTTATATAATATCAATCAATAGTTTGTGATTACCAAAGATGTTTTATGTTTTTATGTTTTTTTTTGCGTTCTGATGGTTTCAATGCACGTGAAAGCATTTCTTTATTGATAGAAGACTCATATAAAATGTTTTTATTTGTTGACACAGTTTCTTTGGATAAAAAAAAGAAAAGCAAAATAAATTAATCAAAGTGTTTTTTAATGTGAGAATCTCTAAAGACTCCCCTGATAAAAAGTCTATTTCTGTCAAACTTACTGTTTTCGTGATTTAGAGATCTTTAGACAGCCATGTTTTTACTCTCGAATGCGGCATAGATTATTGAGTTTATGATGAAATTTAACTATATAACATGGAAGATAATAAAGCTTTGTGAAATTCATACATTTTCAAAGAAAACAGTAAGTTTAATTGTTAAGTCGAACTTCTATAACTTCTTCAATTATAAACCTTAACTGTTAAGAACAATGGACGTCAAATTCTTTTTCTAGAATGCTGAATAGTATTAATAACAAGACTTAGACTGTTCTAGAAACTCTGAGAACATTTCAAAGTGTCTCTAAAAATTTGAATGACTGTAATACGTTTGTGAATGTTGTTGTCAATATAACTACAAACATTATATGGTCAACAAAAGAATAATAGTGTGTTGATACTTGCTGTAGATATAATGAATATGTACGACAGACTTGTTTGTCAGCTAAATCAATTGTTATATTAATAATAATGTTAAATTAAGGAAAATAGAAAATAGTCATCGAATAGCAACAATGCAAACAAAAATTTTTTTAAAATTTTTGTTCATTATACATAAATAAATAAGACTGATAACTTCTCTGACAATCGATTATCTTGGAAAACAACTATAGTCTACTAGAGGTTTTCTTCTATAGTTATTTTGTCTTAGTATAATAAGACTCAAGAGCAAATGCAGCAAATGAGTTGCCGTAACAATTTTTTTTCTAAAAATTTGATTTTATAAAGTTTATCAAGTTTCTCTGTTATTTTTTGGCAGTGATCAACATGATTCTCATAAATTGCTAAATATAACTAGCGAATACAACATCCAAACATGAAAAATCATAGAATACAATGAAGATGTTGATGTGAGTCTGGATGACTAATATTGATAACTTTAAATGAATTCATTTGATTTGTTCTAATCGGTGATGCATGATAAATTACTCGAAGAGGTGCTTAATATCAGTTTATAGACGAAAAAGTCCTGAGTTACAGTGTTGAAACTAATGTTGCGTTTTTTTCTCACAGTATAAACTTTTATTGTGACGTGTCCGTGTATTCCAGATTTCTCCCTCATTTTAAACGATCAGAACGTGGGTTCAGCATCATAATGTAGGTAAAAAACAACTCAATAATTTCATAGAGCCTGATTTTTTAGAATTCTTCTGAACTATTTAATAAAAATCAATCGGCTATAAGATTCTAAACTCGAGATACACTGTCTCTAGAGGCTTCATCAAGATTGAATGATAGGATAAAACAACTCGTTTGAAAGGAACTCTCTAAATTTTTATTATTTGATTTTTTCTAATGGTAAAATTACAGTTTCTTCAGTTTTTGAAGTGTTCGTTGATATTTCCAATCGAATAGCATAGAACATATAAGTTTGTGAATCAAATAAAGCTATGGCTTTTTTTTCTTGTTTACCAGATTGATAATAAATTGAATCAAATAATACTTCTGTTGTTTGATTTTGTTTTGCATTGAATTCCATCGTACGAATATTTTTTCGTTCTAATATAATCGAATACATATGACCTGATTTAATAACAAGCTGATTTTCTGTATTTAAGTAAATAGCCATAAAAATACGTTCATCATATTCACAATCATCAGCATAAACAAATGCTAAAAACTCTTTAATCGATGTTTGATTATATTTAACAAATGATTCAGCTGTATCAAATTCAAGAAATTTATTTAATTGTTCAACAATTAATGAACATTGTTTATTAAAATTATCTGTTATAATTATTTTAAGTTGAAATGGTTGTGGTAAACTTTTATGTATGCGTTTTCGTGTTGCATTATCTCTTCCTGGTTCACCTTTAACATGTAAACACCCTTTGATAGCATATGATAATACTTTATCCGATTCAATATTAATTATTGAATCAGCTAACCATCTTGGTTCTTCATTACGTAGTGCAATTGGTCCAATAGCTACATCTTCACATTCATGCCATGATCCATCATTAGTACGATAAAATACAGTTAAATTAACAACTGAAATATGTTTATCAGTAGATTCTTTATGTTCTTGATACAATACATCTGATAAATTACTTAATTTCTTAGAAAAAGTAATATGTGTGATAGTAAAATATTGACAAAATGTACCATCTTCTGACGAACGTAAATCTTGATATGCTGTTACGGTATTTGTACTACCATAAGTCATTCGAATTAATGATTCTCCTTCACAATCATATTTAGTTATTTTTTTATTTCTATCTCGATTAATATCTATTTCTGGACCAATTCGTTTCGGTAATGGAATATTTGAAGCAAGTTCTTTTAAACATTCGCGTTGTTGCTCACTTAAAATATCATCATCATTTGTTTCACCTGACATATAAATTATTTCACCTTTTTCTATACACATACGTACTTCATCAAGTAAAATATGTAATTTATTAGACCATATTTGTTCATTTGAACTAATTTTTAAACTACATATAAGAAATAAACATGTATTTGACACAGAATCATATTCCCATTTGACTTCAATAAACCAATTTGTATTACCAAATCGAGCAATGATATTATCTTAAACAAAATGAATGATTGTTTTTTTTTTCTTCTATAAATTTCAATATTTGATTATTTATATTTACTTTGTTGTTTTTTTTCATTAGCAATTTGAATTAATTCAAATATGTTAAACATATAAAGTCCATACATAGTTGATGTACCATGGATTCGTATAAATAATTTACCAAAATTATTCAGACCAATTTGAATATATTTTTCAAGGTTATCACTTGCATCATGTTGTTTAATTTCACACCATAAATTTTCAAGATCTAATGTCGAATAATTTTCTTCAACAAATTTTTCCATATCAACACAAATAATTCGATCATTATCTTCAAGTACATCTGAACATATGTCATCATTCGATAGAAAATAACCATCATCAGTCATTAATTGAACGATTTGTATATTACTATATGAAAATTGTCGAATGACATATTTTTCAAGTAAATGTCTAAGTTCATTAATTGTTTTTGTTGATGTTGAATTAAGAACATAAACAAATTTGAGTGATGATGGTAATGTTTTTCGATAAGATCTATTACTAGACTTATTATCACCAAGTTGCACTTTTATACGTATTGAAGACATTGTGTCACGTAAAAGAAAAAAAAAATTAATGGTGTATCACCTTTTTTTTTATCCTTTCTTTCTTTATCTTTTCTCTGTTTGGTAATTTGACGACAAGAACAACAACTACAACATGATATTAAAATACGTTGATAAATGAGAAAATAAAAAACGTGTTATGACAACCTTTATTTCTTCATGTTTCTTTTTTTTTTTAATATAACAATAATAAACTTCTAATGTTATTCAATAAAATTGACATGAAGGGAATTCTCTGTCTAAATTCATCAGTAACTTAAATGACGTAAGAACTAGTAACTTCCTGCCGCGGTACAATCCAAAAAAAGGATTAGAGAATATTCTATTCTGATTCAAATTTAGCATGATGATGTGATTATAGATTCTCTAGTGGTTATACATTAGTATCCATAAGCCATCAAAAGAGACATTTGAAGAAAAGAAAAAAGAAAAGGTTGTTGGCATTGGCTTTTATTGTATTGTACATTCAATAATAATTGTGTCCTTTTTTATTGTTGATCTGAGAAAGAAAAGATGTTAAAATAGTTGATTAGAGATATCAAGCTGACGCAATTTTGTTCATAATACAACAGAGAGTTGTCACTTTGATATGATCGCTTGTTACAATTGTAGGATGTTTGTTAATGGGCATGCATGTGCATGTCATTCTTCTATTTGACGCAACCCAACTGTATCATATAGACATATTCATATGTATGTACAATATATAATCAATTCTTTCCCAAATGAATCGACATTTCGTTGAGTGACGATGATGACGATTGAGCCTTGTTTTTTTTTCTTTCAATATGTACATAGGCAAATAATCGATTTTTGGTGAAGACAAACGTGTTCATGACCCTGACCTTGAACGTCCATCAGCAAAGTGCTTTATATTGTATAAAAGTAAAGCCTTGTCAGACGCATAACCGTAATGTGCATGTATGCAAGTAAAGGAGCTCCATCACTAATAGTATATATACATGTATATATAAATATATATACCTATCACTAACTCACATAACAGAGAAGAAGTGAGAGAATGAGAGAAGAATACATATATGTGTTCTATAAAAGAAAAGAGATCGTTTAATCTCAGGACGCACTGCTACTGGTATTGTTGTTGTTACTATATGTATTCAGTACCAGGAGAGCACGAGCAAGAGAGAGAAAGGGAGAGAGAAAGACAGGGAGAACGAGAGCGAGAGAAAAATGCAATTGTGTTTGTTACAGTTCATGACAAGAGAGAGCAGTATGCTGATCCTCATCAACTGTTCAGTTCATGAAACGACGAGAGAATTATGCAGACACTCGTGCAACATAGACACTCGAACGAATTCAAATAAATATGTATAAACACATACAGAAAAAAAGGTATAAGAGAAATAGGAAATGAAAAAGTCTCATACATTCTAACAAATGCACGTATGTATTATATATATATATGTATAGATATATGTTAAGCAACGATCTAAGACAAAATTGTCTTAGCATTTTTTCTTATTATTTATATATGTTGATATATAGAATAAAGTTTATCTAATTAGAGCAACATGTTTATATTCTATTGATTTTAGATGTTGATTATTTTTCGTCAAAGATATATCTTCAAAACAATATGATTACAAATCGAGTTTTTTTTTATTTGTTTTTTATTATTATTATTGTTATTTTACCATCTTGGACATATAAATTTGAAACTTGTTGTTCAAATGAAAAAATAACAAATACAACAGCTAGTATTCGTCTTTTATCATGTCCTTTAAATTTTGTTATTAAATTACGTACAGTTATTTTTTATACGGGTAATGGTTGTGCACCTAGTGCATGTCAACGACGTCTTAATAAACATTATCTTGGTTGTAATAATCATCGAACGTGTTCAATATCGATTAATTGTATTCGTATGGATTCATCAATATGTCCATCATTAATGCAAAGTACAACTTATGCTCAACATTTAATTGTCGATTATGATTGTATTTTATATGAACCTGAATCATCATTACCTGTTGTAAATCATCTTGATTTTAATAATAATAATAAAATTAATAATACTAAACAAGATGATAATCAAAATATAGTTGTTTTTTCTGCTAAAATTAATGTTGAATCACCACCAGACATCATAAATGATTCAATATCAACATTATCAGATATCATAGATGATGAACGTGCTTGGAAAGAATTTATCGTTAAACAATATCTTAATGGTAAACGACCACCATTAACAAATGTTGAACAACCAATTATTATTCAACAAGAACGTTCATTATTAAGTGAAATAGTTCGAACTGTAATAATACTTATAGTATTTACTCTTATTCTTATTGTATTAATGCTTATTGGTTTTGTTCTTTACAAACGTATTAAATTTCTTAGGAAAAGAAATTTTTTTGGTCTTCACAAAGAACAAAAACAAAAGCATGAACCATTTCCAACCGATGAAGCTTATGACAATTTAAAAACGAGTGCAGCTGGTTCAACAACTGACAGTGGAGCAGCAACTGATGTGTGAGTTGGACTCAATCTCTATCTACTCTTTGACACCTATTTGTGAGCTTTACATGTTTGTACGCGTTTGTTTGTGTGTGTGTGTGTCCATTGAAATGTCAAGGATTATCAACGTTTAAAGAAACAGCATATTCATTTATCTATTCATCTATATATCTCTCTATATATATTCTGTATATAAAGGTGCGCATATATGCATACAGTAAATGCATATATATCTTTTGGCATTGATCATGTCTGTCAAAGATTTTTTTCTCTCGAAAGATCAACAATTATACATATGCAACAATAATAGAAAATTTTCTCTTTTGTTCGCATTTATCCGTAATCGATATACAGTGAATAGTTATATACTACGACTCAGTTACTCGTGCTCGAAATCATTTGCCCTCAATGTAGAAAGAAAAAGAGAAGTGCAAACGCGCGTGATGTAATGAAGTACAGCAAAAAAAAGAAAAAGAAACTAGTTGAACAGTTTATTATCAGTACTGCGAAAGAGAGAGAGAGTGAGTGAGAAAGTAATAGTCCGATACGATAAAACAAACAACTGCTGTAAGATACGACAGAGTATGAGAAAAAGGAGATGTGATGTGTTAATCTAGCCTCGATACTACTGCTGCTATTCTCATCATCATGCTGCAATTGATTGCATATGCGATAAACAGACCTTGGAGCATCGGCGTGTCAAATACACGCACGTATGCACGACTCAAACAGCTCAGTCATTTTAACCATGCATATATATATGTATACACAGCAAGAAGAAAAAAGCTCAATCAACTATACATTATGTCATAATATGAATGAACATAAGTCGACATATGAGACTAATGGGTCGTACTATGCAAGTTGTTCAATGTCATCCTTTTCATCATCATCGATCGATGATTGATTGATTCGTCGATCATTCGTTGAAACAAGAGTCTCTCTTCCATAGTTCAATATTACCATGTACATTTACATTGTATTGACTGTAATTATATGGTATACCTCTAAATGATTTCTAGTCTCACTTGTTTCAATCAATATTTATTTTTCTACTATTGTAATAATTGTTTGATAGCTCAAAGGTATTCATTTCGAAATGAATCTATATGTTGAGAAAATGAATCGTCAATATTTAATTGGTATGCATTCCTTTGCATATTCTTATGTCTTTATATGCAATAAGAATAGTTGCTTTTATTCACTTATAATGACCACAGGACATCATATCAGCATGTGATCTGATAATGAATCGACTATAGAAAACATCATTAGGTATCAAATAAAAAGAACTAGAAGATAGTTAATAAAGTTCAGTTTTTTTGTTTTTGAATTAAAAAAAAGACTAAGTACACATGAAGTACGATGAACTACACATGAATGTAGACAAATTTTAAGCTTATAATATTCTTTGAAGTACACCACTGTGAACGATAAATAATACATAGCTGCGATCATATTCACTACTCAAACGATATTCTCAACTATCCCTTGATAAACAGCATGAAGTAAAAGAATAGTATTACAACCATTACACTATATAGATATATACATCCTATCGAGAATGTCAAGTATTTATTTCTGTTGAGAAAAAAGATCTTTATCTTTCATTAATACAGAAAAAAAAACAGAATGATAATTTCAGCAAGTGCATTAACCTTGAAATAATGATAATTATTTATAAAAGAAAAAAACATAAATAAATTCAACATACAAGATTATTACGTAATTGTCAACAACAATCATGCAAAGCAAAAAAACATCACTAACATTGAATAAAACAAAAATGTTTACACAAAAAAATAAACTATAATGAAATATGTATTACAGAGAAAATAACATATGAGGAAATAATTAACGATGATTGAATAAATGGCCATATCTTATGTTAAACATAGTTTATTCTTCTTATAGAAAGCTTATAATAGAATAATCGATCATTTTTTTCATCGATCCCATTCTCACATAGATTGAATGAATATGTGTTTATTCGTTACTGATGTTCACCATATGAGCAATCCAATAGTTTTGTCCTCGAACTTATCATACATATTGAGAATCAAAAATGCAAATATAGTTTATCTCTAATATATCGAATAAAAATTATTTTTAATTATTTAGTTTTTAAAAATCTTTTTTTTAATGAACATGGAAAATGTTTTTAAATTAGGTTCAATTATTTGATTTAATCTACTCTCGATGTAACAAGGATAAACTATTTCTTTTGAAGTTTTATTTTCTTTGTAATCCTGTACATGATAAATTGATCATATTACTTAACATGAAAAATGTCATATGTACCCTCCTACCTCATTTTTAATGTTAATGTAGGGCTACTTCTTAATTGCGGACAAAATTTCAGCCCTCACCCACACTGTCGGCATGCTAATTGGTTTGATTTTCGTCCGCAATCAAGAAGACACGTAATGTAGTCTTTTAAAAATGAATAAACACCGACTTCTTATATAATTGTTTATGTTTGTTATAGTTTTTTTTTCTTAAAA